TAAATTCTTTTATTCAAATTGTCTAGAGTGGAATCTGTTCTCTGCATCAGAATATTGACAAATATGAAACCCCAAAAAGAATACTGAATACAGAAAAAGATGTTTTTAAAGAACATTTTTAAGTATATCAAGTAATTGATTGAATAATAATAATTGACCCCGAGAGTAGGTCTCCTGATGTGACTTCTCTTTTTTTTTCACTCCCAGTTATTTTCTGCTTCTTCATTCTATTCCTCTCTGTTGCTTTGCCATTCAGAGAAAGGGTAAAAGTAGACTATACAGTCAGCTACAATATCTGCAAGGAAATGTTCTTTTGAAATGCAATGTTATATTTTTAATTTGCATTTTTGACTCTCCTCAATATGGTACAAGATCTCTATTCAAATCAAACTTATTCCCCATTTTATCGTCTCTTAGGTTTTTCTTAGATTTTTCTTTTCTCTTAGATTTTTCTTTTCCTTAAAAAATTTTTTTCCTTAAAAAAAATGCTTACTGCTAAACTTGCTTCCTTTTGGTTCTCATTTCCTTTTTTCTTTTGAAAAATTATGTCTTTGTTTAAAAAAATTATTCAATTTCTTTAAGCCTCTCCCATAAAATAGTTCACTATCTCTCCTGCTCCCCAACCCCACCTCTTGCACACAGCAAACACCAATCTGTTCTCCATATCTATAAGTCTGGGATTTTTCTCTCTCAATCTCTTTCTCTCTATTATTCTTTTTTAAAGAGTTCACATATAAGAGAGGCCATACAATATTTGTCTTTTTCTGTCTGACTTGTTTCACTTAGCATAATGCCCTTGAGGTCAATCCATGGTGTCATAAATAGCAAAATTTCATTCTTTTTATGGCTGAATAAATAGCCCATTGGATATACATACCACAAATTTTTTACCCATTCATCCATTGATGGACATTCAGGTCCTTTTTATACCTTGGCTATTGTAAATAAGGCTCCACTGAACAAAGGGGTGCATATACCTCTTCAAAAAAATTTTTTTTAAATATTTTATTTATTTATTTGACAGAGAGAGATCACAAGTAGACAGAGAGGCAGGCAGAGAGACAGAGAGAGGGGAGCAGGCTCCCTGCTGAGCAGAGAGCCTGATGTGGGACTCGATCCCAGGACCCTGAGATCATGACCTCAGCCGAAGGCAGAGGCTTAACCCACTGAGCCACCAAGGCGCCCCGAAAATTTTTTTCTTTTGATAAATACCCACAAGAGAAATTGCTGGATCATATGGTAGTTCTATTTTTAATTTTTTGTGGAAACTTCATGCCCTTTTCATTAGGAGTTGTAATAATTCATATTCCTATTAACAGTGCACAAGAATTCCTTTTCTTCCACATCTTTGCCAACACTTGTTAGCTCTTGTCTTTTGATAATGGCCATTCTAACCGGTGTGAAGTGATATCTCATTGTGGTTTTGAGTTTCATTACCCTGATGAGTAATGATTTTCCATCTTTTCATGTACCTTTTGGCCATCTGTAGTCTTTGAAAAAAAAAAGTCTATTCTGATCTGCACATTTTTTAGAAAAAGTTTTTATTTTAATTCCAGTGAGTTAACATACAGTGTTATATTAGTTTCAGGTGTACAATACAGTGACTCAACAATTCCATACATGACCCAGGTTCTCATCACAACAAATGCTCTCCTTAATCCCCACCACCTAGTCCACCCATCCCCCTCCCTCCTCCTCCCCGCTGGTAACCATCAGTTAGTTTGTTCTCTATAATTAAGAGTCTGTTTCTTGATTTGTCTCTCTTTCTCTCTCTTTTTCTTTTTCCCCCTTTGCTTACTTGTTTTGTTTCTTAAATTCCATGTATAAGTGAAATCATATGGTATTTGTCTTTCTCTGACTTATTTTGCTTAGCATTATTCCCTCCAACTTCAAACATGTTTTTGCAAATTCATCTGCCCTATTTTTAAAGATTTATTTATGTATTTGAGAGAGAGAGAGAAAGAATGAATGAGCAAGAGGAGGGAGAGAGAATCCCAAGTAGACTGCCGGCTGAGTGGAGCCCGAGGCAGGGCTTGATCTCACAACTCTGAGATTATGACTTGAACTGAAATCAAGAGCTGTATGCTTTGACTGAGGCACCTAGGCACTCCACTTCTGCCCTTTTTAATCAGTTTTTTTCTAGTTATTGAGTTGTATGTGTTCTTTGTATATTTTAGATATTAGCCCCTTATCAGATATATGATTTGCAATTATTTTCTCCCATTCAGTATGTTGTCTTTTCATTTTGTTTGTTTCCTTTGTTGCGCAGAAGTTTTATAGTTTCATGTAGTTCCATTTGCTTATTTTTGCTTTTGTTGCTTCTGCTTTGGCGTCATATTAAAAAAAATTTATCAATGAGACTTACGTCAATAAGCTTACAGCCTATGTGTTCTTCTAGGAACTTTATGGTTTCAAGCCTTATATTCAAGTCTCTACTCCACCTTTGTTTATTTTTATATATGACTAAAGGTAGTTGATGTCCAGTTCCATTCTTTTCCATGTCGCTGTCCAATTTTCCCAGCGCCAATTATTGAAGATACTGTCCTTTCTCTATTGTATGTTCTCGGCTTCTTAGTCATCAGTTAATCAACCATATATGTGTGGCTCTCTGTTCTGTTCTGTTGCTCTACATGTTTTTATGCCAATACCATACTGTTTTAATTACTGTAGCTTTGTAATATAGTTTGAAATCAAGAAGCATGATGCTTCCAGATTTGTCTTTTTCAAGATTTCTTTGGCTATTTGGGGTTCTGTGGCTTCGTACAAATTTTAGAATTGTTTATTCCATTTCTGTGAAAAATACCGTTAAAATTTTGATAGGGATTGCTTTGAATCTATATATTGCTTCAGGTAGTATGGATATTTTAACAATATTAATTATCCCAATCCATAAGTACAGAATATCTTTTCATTTATTTGTGTCTTCTTCAGTTTCATTAATGCCTTGTAGTTTTAAATATATAGGTCTTTCACCTCCTTAGCTGAATTTACACCTAGTTATCTTACTCTCCTTGAGCAATTATAAATGAGATTTACTTAATTTCTCTAGTAGTTTGTTATTAATGTAAAAAAAATAACAGATTTTTGTGTATTGATTTTTGTATCCTGCAACATTGTTGAATTTGTTTATTTGTTCTAACAGTATTTTGATGGAGTGTTTAGTGTTTTCTATATATAATATCATGTCATCCTCAAACAGTGACAGTTTTACTCATTCCTTTCTAATTTAGGTGTTTTTTGTTTGTTTGTTTGTTTGTTTTTTTGCCTAATTGCTCTGGCTAAGACATCCAACACTATGTTGAACAGAAGTGGTAAGAATGGACATTCTTGTCTTGTTCCTGATCTTAGAGGAAAAGCTTTTGGCTTTTCACCGAGTATGATGTTAACTGTGGGCTGGTTATAAGTGACCTTTATTATGTTGAGGTACATTCCCTCTATACTTACTCTGTTGTGAGTTTTTACCATGAATGGATGTTGACTTTTGTCAGATACTTTTTGTGCATCTATTCATATCCTTATGTGATTTTTATCCTCCATTTTGTTAATGTTGCATATCACATTGACTGATTTGTTTATATTGAAACATCCTTGTATCTCTGGAATAAGTTCCACTCCATCATAGTGTAAGATACTTTTAGTGTATTATCATATATATTTTTGCTTGTTTATTATGTCTTTTCCCCCACTTGGAATGCTAGAATGTAACCTCCACCAAGGAAGAGACTTTATTACTCCATTCCTAGTGCCTGTAACAATGCTTGCTATATGGCAAGCACTCAAAAAATATTTACTGAATGAGTGATGAATGAGTGAATGAAAGAATAGGTGCATCTACAAGGGAGCAGTAAACCATAGCATATCCACCCTAAGAAATTTTAGGTAGCCATTAGATACATTCCTGAAGGCCATTCCGAGGATAAAAGTGGGTTTGACACAGGGAAGAAACTGATAATGGTAAAATAAATTATTGCCACCCTTAGCATATGCTCTCCATAATTTCAAGGGCCTCCAGAATTTCAGGACTGTCCTAGCCCATTAGAAGCCTGTGGTAGGTGTGTCTGAGTGGTGGGGGTCACATGCCTGCCTTCTTGCTGCAAGAGGTCTTGGGGGAAGCAAATGGAATGTAGCTCCCACCCAGGAGATAAAGGTGGAGGAATTCCTCAGCATGACAAGGGACGTCATACGCTGGGCTATCAAAAAGAATGATAAATGCCCATTAGAACCTCAGAAGATCAGAGAGAAAATATCTCACCTCGTTCGGTGGAATCACAGATGTAGCAGAGGCCACAGGTCCTGGACCTTTCCTTGGGGGCTGTCCCGCACAGAACTCACACATTGGATTTGCCTGGGTCCCTCACCAGGCAGCCAACCATCAATGCAACCTCTCAGGCAATAAGCAAGTTAAAAAATGAACCAAATTATCCCCGGTACCAATGGATACGTGATCCTCTTCCAGGAGTAGTTTTTAGATAACTGTATAATCAAGGTATTTTCTATACCTAGCAAACATCCTGTCTACTGCAACTAATAACATACAGAATGCTTTCATTAGCATTGCTCTTAGAGCAACTGAGGCAATCAGGTTTAAATGAGTGACTACAAAAACATCATTGGCTTTATATCAGAGGGTTTCTTCGAAGAAAATTTTTAATAGATCCCATTTAGATATCTATTATTTCATGTAGATGCTAAACATCAGAGAGCTTAAATTAGCATCATATCATCTTCTATATTTAGTTTTAAGGAGAATTGATACTAAATGTAATCTTAAGTATTTCATGTATAAGACAGATAAGGCAAATGAAAATGACCTTTATATTAGCTAATTTCCATTGCAGCACACAAGTCACAGAGCGATTTTTACATAACCCAAAGTTTGTGGAATGCTAAACTTTAGGACTTAGAGCTCTCTTCATGGTCCTATTTTCAGTATGATTGAAGCTGCTCTTCCAAGCTTCCAAAATACAAAATACTTTAGGGTCATCATTAAAGACAGTATTTTATTGCAGTAATAGCATTCCAAATGATTTCCATGTCCTAAGTTCTGGTTCCTTCTGTACATAGCTATTTTGTCTCTCACCATCTAACCAAGATGCTTCTGGCACAGCCCAGACTGAAGGGTGGGCAACGGACTGAGGAGCCTGGGTGGGGGTGGGGCAGTTTCCCTTCCAGAGTCTTGGGTCTTCCTAAGCTTTCCAAACATTTAGTGGTTTACTTGGGAATTCTGCTGAAGGTTAAGCAGTTGTTATGGGGATTGTCACAACTGAAATCAAATGGCTCTTCAAACCAAAGAATTCAGGAATTCAGGAACTTTCCAGTGTTAATTTGGATCATAGACTACCATCACATCTATCATCCTACTAGAGTTTTCTTTCAGTAACTGCTTAATGGGAGGGTTTATCTCAACTCTGCATTTCCCAAACAGAGCTATTAATCAGACCCAGCTCTATATCCACTGTGAGTGAGACGGGCATAGTTCAGGCCTTCGGGCTTGCCAGGAGGGCAGTAAGCCACTTGTTTTTCTTGGCAGAGAGCTTTGTCCGCATGTGGTTCCTTCTCTTCTTTCCTCAGACCACAAGATTCAGATTCCTCGGAGCCTAGAGGACCCTCAGAATTTTCTTCACCCTGGCTACATCCTGTAGCAAGTACCATATAGTTTAACCCTTCTTGGTTCTTGGTTTCCATTAAGGCTATTGACATCACATCACCTGAATTCAAACAGATTGCACTGCCATCTTCATCTGTGAGAAAAAATGTAAAAGTTACACTGGTATCTATTTGATTTTCTATATCTCTAATATACAGGCTGTATAAGAATTATAACACCACCAACCATATACAGTAGTTCGGCAAACATTTATGAGGACCACCAGGGAATACAAAGATAAACAAGATATGCTTCTTGTCTTTGAAGCTACTGTAGTCTAGTAGGGGAGAAAAACATTACTATGGAAGACAATGTGTGCTGTATGTAATAAAGGAATATGTAAAATGTGGGAGAGAGCAGAGACAATAATTCTGCCATAACTGAACAGGTCACAGCCTTAGGGATAGGAATTAAGTGGTTTACAATGGCCCCTTTTGTCTAAAGTGCTTACCTTTTAGTCCCACCAGCTAAAACATCCACCTTGAAAGATATATCCATTTTGATTAATTTAATCATCTATTAAGATATTCCTTGGATGCTTAACACATCCCAGCCGGGTTCCAAGTATTGATGAGACAACAATGAACAAAGCAAAGTTGTTCTTCTTTGGAGTTTACATTCTAATGAGGGGAGACAGACAATGAACTAGCAGCCAACTAAGTTTGTGTTGCGTGGCGATGAGTGGCAGCAAAAGGGGGCAAGAAAATAATGGTGCGGGTGGAAGGGGGTTGCTACTTCGGAGGAAATGTCAGCAAAGTCCTTTCTAATGAGGCAAATTGCAAGTAGAGACCTGAGCTAAGTGAGAAAATTCAACACATGGATATCTGAGGAAAAACATTCAGGGAAAAGAGAACAGTGAGAACAAGGACCCCAAGGCAGGAGCACACTGAGTGTGAATTGGTGTGGCTGGTCCCCCTCAGCTGTCTGTCTCCCTGGGTCATGTCACATTAGTACTACTTAGCAAATAGGTAAACTAGCATGCTTATGACCTCATAAGGCCGATAGGGAATGGATAGGCCTGGCAAGTTTTGATGACAAAGTTGAGTTGAGGGAGAATGAAAATGACATGAAATATAATAACAGTGATTGTTGTTAACAGTGTTGTTGTTAACAGTGTTGTTGTTAACACAGAGAACATACTATGTGCCAGGTACTGTTCTAACCTATATACATATATTAACTCATTCCTCTATTAAGTGGATACTAGTATTATCCCTATTTAACAGTTGGGGAAACTGAGGCACAGGGGGGTTAAGTAATTTGCCCAAGGTCACATAGCTATAATTAAACCCAGACCGTGTCCCCATATTCACCCTCCCCAATGGGATGGCAGAGCTGCTGTGCTCTGTGAGGAGCCAAGTAGGTGGGCAGTGTGCCCTAAAGAAGTCCTTGAAAGGCATAGACTCTGAACACTCATGCTTGGGGCCAGAGTGACAGCAGAAAAATGGGCAGCCAGAGGGTAACCAGCCTTCCTCACAATTAAGCTCACATTATTTTGTCTTTCTCTATTTAAAGACTGACCTTTTTACATAGAAAAGTAGAAGAATTCTTGCTGAAACCTAACAGCAGAGCTTCTGAAACATTTCACAAAATTCTAGGTAATCAAAAGGGACAAATGCACAATATAAGCATAAATATATAAATGTATATTATGGGGATTGTTTCTTGGTGATCACTGTTTTCCAATTGCTGAGTGTTATTACCTGGATGAAAAATTTATGATTAGAAATATTACTGTTTAGTGGTTTACTTGGGAATTACTGCTCTTTCAAAATGATTATTTCACAAATCAGAAAAATTTCAGTCAACAGAGGGCGGCCCTTCTTTTGTCTCCATCATTCTTCCAACAAGAAGCATCCAAATGTGTGTCACTAAGAAAGGTGAGGTTGGCTGTGCTGCCAACCTTCTGCCCTTAGTCCTGATGTACACCCAGGTTGGGTTTCTTTGGAATGAATTTAAATGGAAATATGGGGAAAATAAACAATTTCAAAGGACTGAGGGAGACACCACTGTAGCTATTTTTTGTCAGTGGAATTTAATGATACGCCTGAACTTCAAAGCTTATTTTATTGTAAGAGCCTGTGAACCACTGGCCTTGCTCTATCTTACGAGGTGCGCATTTGTTTGCTGACCTTCCCACACTGTGGAAGGACAAGATGGCAGAGCGACAGACTCAGCCTCTTGGCCATCATTTCGTGTTCCTCTTTGTCATTCAAACATCATGAAAGTCCACAGCAAACCACATGGATAGTCACGTAGTGTTATAAAATACCTACCCCATAGAAATCAGATGCCAACCTTACTTAATGCCTAAGTGCTGAATATCTTTGGAAGTGTCCTGCTGTTAGGATTATAGTCAACATTGACTAAGAGCCATTGAAACACCCATAAGAACAGTTTTCTGTATATGATGATAGCAATCAACAACATCAAAAGGTGATAGGAAGAAATAAGATATTTGACTTCAAATAGTCCAGGAGCCCAGATTATTGAGGAAATTAGGACGTTCCTGAAAAGGCTTAAAGAAATTAGGCTAAAGGAAAGTTGAGAAAATGTCAAATCTTAAATCTACAATAAAAATATAGCTGCTCTTATTATCAGCAGCTTCACTTTCATACCTTTAATCATTAAACAACATATTTGGAAAAGTTCTACCCATATGTGAATTTAATTTTTTTTTCCTCTTGTTGAGTTATTTGGAAAAAACCTTTTACACGAGGCAGATAAATTCTTTTTATTAACTCTGGCACCGTACGTCAAAGGAAAATCATTAGCTACCTACTTCATTGGTTTAGAGTACTTAAAGCAATATTTAGTAACTTGACCCTGGCAAGATTTCAGCAATTAGTACATCTCCTTATTGCATAAAGAACTTAAAAGAGACAGTGGGAAGGAGGGTGTTTTGTTTGTTTATTTTTGTTTAAAACTGACAAGAAAGCCTGCAGGTCAGACCTTAAGGCAGAGATCCTGAACAAAGCTACCATGTGCTCAGCAACCCTTTCTTTAAGAGGGAAATATTAAAATAAAGACTTCCAAGCAAGACAGGGTATTTACAGACGAGACATATGCCGGCTGACTGGCTATGTTTAGAACAGCAGAGGAGCATTTAGATTTGTTTCCTGTAGGACTCTCTGGGACTGATGAGGTGATGTTTACAAAAATGTTGGGATGAAGTCACTGGGATATTTTTACTAGATGCCCAGATATGTTACTAATCTCTCTCTATCCTCTCTCTACCCCATTAGGTCAGTAGGACCATAAGATAAGCATGGTATTATTGCTCCCTGTAATCCTAATACCCACCATCTCCTGGCTTTTTTTTTCCTTTCAAAAAAGTCTTTCCAATGACTTTTTTACCTTCTTAGGTATCTCCAGTAATAACAGTCAAGACAGACATCTCACTGCTTTGCTAAATACACCCACCAGCCTGTAGAGCAGTAACCTATTATTAAACACATTCTCACTTATTAAAAAAGTAATTAAGTTTAGGCTTCCCTTGAAGGGACTGTTTTATTATTTCTATCCTTTGCAAATATGCCAGTTCTGCCTGCCAGTCTGTTTCTTCTCTCTGCCCCTTTTGTCCAGTCACATCTCAACAATCAAGATTTTTAGTGACTTCCCTATCTCTTTCCATTCCTTACCTTCAGGATTTACATTCACTATAAATAACAGAATGAGAATTTCTCTTTCACTAAAATTGAATTTCTATCATGGCCCAGAATTGCTTGTTGCTCTCTAAATTATCAGAGTTTGATTATATTCCCTGTTAAACTTTCTACATCTTATTCTGCATGTTTGTCTGCTTCACTATTTTTTGACTATTTAGAATTTTAATTCAGTCTGCCAAAAACTTGGCACCTAAATGACCAGGACAGGTCAAGGTATCTTTTCTAGCAAGCCAGAAGTAATAAGGTCTTTCATTATCCCTAGCTGCACAGCACACTATTAACAACAAATTGGGGAAAGTGTGTGGGTATTTTCCTTACAACAGCCATGTTTCTGTGAAGGCTGAGAGCAGAAGCCATGTTCCAGGCATACTAGGACAGAAACCATACTCCATCCCTGCCTCAGCAGTATGGCCACTGACAAATTGCTAAATCTCAGTCTTCTTATCTGTAAAATGGTTATATAAAAATACCCGTGTCATAGGGCTATGGTCAGTATTTAATGAGTTAATCCACATAGCACAGCGAATGGCACATAAAAAAAGGCTACAATAAGATTAGTTGGACTGGAGAGTATTATGCTGAGTGAAATAAGTCAATCAGAAAGAGACATTTATCATATGGTTTCACTCATATGCGGAATGTAAGAAATAGTGCAGAGAATCATAGGCAAAGGGAGGGAAAACTGAATGGGAAGCCATCAGAGAGGGAGACAAACCATGAGAGATCCTACTATGGGACACAAACTGATGGTTGCTGGAGGGGAGGTGAGTGGGGGTATGGGGTAACTGGTGATGGGCATTAAGGAGGGCATGTGATGTGATGAGCACTGGGTATCTGAAACTAATGATGTACTATTTTTTGGCTAATTGAATTTTAATTTTAAAAAGATAAGAAAAATAAATAAAAGCCATTCACAAAAAGGGTTTTATTCTCAGCATGCCTGGGGGGCCCAGTGGGTTAAAGCCTCTGCCTTTGACTCAGGTCATGATCCCAAGGTTCTGGGATCGAGCCCTACATCGGGCTCTCTGCTCAGTGGGGAGCCTGCTTCCATTCCTCTCTCTCTGCCTGCCTGTCTCCCTACGCGTGATCTCTATCTGTCAAATAAATACAATCTTTTTTTAAAAAGGGTTTTATTCTCTATATTTAATGTGAGCATTTGTTTGTGACTTATCTCAGCCTCACAGATGAACTAGGTAATGCAACGTAGTAAAAAGTTTTCTTAAGGGTTCATAGAGACTTCTGGTAGGGGCTACAGTAAAGGTCAACTCTCAGGCCCTCTTAAACTCCTTATGACAGCCTCTGTGATTTTTATAAAGTGTCTGAACACATTAGAAGTAAAGGACTCCATGAGCAAAGAGATAGATTTTAAAAAACGCAATACGCATCAGCTGTAAGATCCTGCATCCCCCTGGAGCTCTTTACCTCTGCAGCATTTGACCACTCCTTCCTTCATGAGCCTCTCTCATTTGGATTTGACAATACTCTCTTAGGACCTTCCTGTCCCTTTCTGGCTTCTCCTCTCTGTGCCGCCATCTTTCTTTGCCAGTCCCTAACATCTTGACTGTTCTCTAGGTCCCAGCCACCATTCACTCTTTTTATTCTGTACACTCTAATTGACTGACCTCATCTACACCCTTGACTTCAACTCCCTATATTTAGAGGACAGACCCTCCAACTGAATATTAGGCTTCTCCACTTTGCCCATAGCCTGCTCAAATCAAAACTGTGCAAAGCTGTTCTTCCTCCAATGCACCCCATCTCTGGGAAGAGCAACACTTTCACCTAGTTTCACAAATCACCAAGATTCACCATTGTCTCCTCTCTCTGTCACTCAGATATCAAATCCTACATCTACCTCTGGGCTTCATTCCTTCCTCTCTATACCTGTTACCATTCATTAATTCAACTTTCATCATTTTCATTTTTTTAACCTGAATTTTTCTGTATGACTACTCTCCCTCCAATTCCCTCCCTTGCCATCTCCCACCCTCTTGTGTGATAAACTACATGCGGGTCCATATATACCCCATTCTTTATTATATCCTGCCTTTCTACATACTGTGCCTCTGTCCTGAAATATTGTTTTTCTCACCTCCCTGCAAAACTGAGCTTGGAAGTTACCTCTCTCTGGTGGCTTTTATTGACTCTCTGACATATGATATGGACTTGGCATCCTTGCTCTGGACTTCCACAGTATATGGCAAGTAAAAATGCCTCCTATTCCCTGAAGAAGATGAAGCATAAAATCATCTGCTCCCCAAACCCTTACACATCAGCTCACTTATCAGAAAAAAGATAGCATAGAACTGAGCAGAGAATCTACTTCCCACTTGGTCCTCTAGATTACATCACCTTTATCTCTGAGTCCAGCCAATATGTATACAAAATACATAAATGAATATTTCTGTAAATGGTTGTAAATGCATGTTAAATATCTAAAAGCATATAACCAAGTTGCTAACTATGGCTAGCACTTGAGAGTAAGAACAGAGAGGAAGTAGGAGATTTTTGCCTTTTATTCTGTTTAGATAATCTTATATGTTTTTAACCATAAACATAAACGTAACAAAGATCTTTAAAATGTAGATACTGTTACAAAATAACATAACAAGAGCAGTTACCGAGATTAATTACTGGGAAAGTTTGAAAGAAAACTGGAAAGAAATCAGGAGTCATTTTTATGACTGATGTCAAATAACATAGAAACTCTTTTTAAAGGCTTTTAAAAAAGATAATAATTTAGCTTAATTTTATAAGGTCTGCAAAAGGGTCAGTCACAAATTTGAATCAGCGTCTTCTCAGTTAAGTGCTGCTTACAGAGGTAGGAGCAGTGATTTAGTAAGAAAAACATGCTTTCAACACCAGGCAAGCAAAGCTACACTGTGCTTGCCATTCACGTGTCTACACCGTGGGCTCTACCCAGTTACTGCCATTTATCTATTTTAGGAACAAAAGATTTCCTTTTACATATTGGCAAACAACCCCGGATTGTGGTTTCTCTCAAGTTTCCCTATGTGAGGTTATCACAAATAAGAACCAGGCCAAGAGGAACAGATTCAAATGGTTTCAACAGAATAACAGGGACAGAGATGCAGTCCTGTGACAAGGACAGCCAATAAAAGCAGTGCTCACAATTAAATTTTATATTTTGTATACTTTAATTTTGTATTAAAGAAACTGACTCTAATTGCTCAAAGGAAAGAAATACTCTTGCCTCCTTTTTTTTTTTCTTAAAACACATTAAATTTAGGTGCTTAACACTATGCCTTGCAACTAGTCAATAACTGCTGAAATAATTGTTTAAAACTTTTATCAAAATTCCATTTAGAGAAATACATTAAGTAAATACTTAGAAAATGAGAAGGACTCAATAGTATCTAGAATGGCTTCTGGTCTGCTTTTCCTTATCCTGTGTGATCTTCACACAGGCACAGATATGCACAGAACCCTCCAAAATGATGGGGCCACTGCCCCAGTTGGCACTCCTCAGAGCTCAGTCTGTCACTCAGCACTCAGAACCAGCGGAGTTCCGCAATGGGCAGGCAGGTGGAGCCAGTGTGGGACAATTACCAAGGCTTCTCTGATGAGGGCCCTGAGGCCTGCTCAAGACAAGCACAGCCCTCTCCAGTCTGTCACTTATGGCTCATTTCAAGAAGCCAAATGATCCATGTTATTTCCATGCATGTCATGGAGTCTAAGTTACCCCCAATTCATATTCAGATATACAGCATGCAAGACAAACAGGTGTTCATCCTGTGCTGTGTGTTCTTCCCTGCTGTTAGTCAAGAGCATTGCTGCAGGCAAAGGTCTCACTCTGCACTCCGTGACAGCCAGCAGCCTCTCCATCAGTCACTGACTTCGGAGAGATGCTGACTTGTGGTCTATCTTGCCAGCTTCCCTTCTAAGCAAAAGGGTCTGTATTCACAAAGGACCCTGGGAACTTATAATAACCAGACGAAGTGCTAGAGCAGCTAGAACTGGATCATTTTAGAATTCATTTTAACCAAGTAGGCCAATGTATTATAAATCTGACTTTGGAAATGAATTAAGTGACTACTGGGTTTTAATTTCATTTTGTACTTTTCATTGAACTCAAAACCATTAGTCTGCCCGTTATAGCAGAAAGCTTCCAGAAGATTATTGCCTTATTTACCAAATTACTGAAGTTGTGGTCTCAGACTAGACCTTAACAAGGCGTGAGCCACTCCAAAAATCGTGGCAAAATTACTCAGCAGTTAGACACATGATTAGATATATACATAGCATCACAGATGGCTCTTAAAAACAGTGCTCAGTGAGAAAGAAAAATTAGCTTTACAAATGCAGCAGCATCTGTGTGTCCAAAACGATACACATTTTGCAGCAAAACATACAGATAAAAAGATACACATTAAAGGCATTAGAATGGTTGCCCAGCCAGAGGAGCAAGGAAATAGAACAGGAGAAGAACATGGAGATAAAGGGACTAAACAAACAAACAATGGAGAAGCCCCACATAGACCAGTGATCATAATGTACCACCAACTAACCGTCTATAATTAACTCAGCTCTGCACTTGAGGTTGAAACGAGTATGAGGGGTGGAGGGAAAGGAGAACAGATCTCACAAAAACAGTCTAACACATTAATTCTCCTCCTTACTACTTCAGATGATAAATCCAGGGGCCATATCACAATTCTTCTTTTTTAATTTAGTGTACAACTCAAGATAATTTCCAAAGAGGAGTACAACGAGCACTTCATTATTATGAAGATGGTGCCAATATATTATTCTTTTGATTTACCATAAAATGTCTTCTATGTATATCCCATTTTTAACCTCTTCAATTCACACTGGAGAGAAAAACCAGAAAATTCTGAAAAAGAATCAAACTTACCTTCAAAGCCTTCATTTATGACTCCAGTGCGGTCTGTTTCTTCTCTGCATTGAGAAATACTATTTAAGGAAACATTTCTGAATAACTGAAGCTGGTCTTGGATTTTGTGGAAAGCAGGTCTTTGGTCAGGTTCTTGAGCCCAACACTGGGTCAACAAATTCCACCTGGATACATAAATGGTGATTGGAGATCATTAGGCAACCAGGACTGATAGTCCATGGAAGGTCATTTTAGAAGGCAACACATTTGACTTATCTCCAGTTTTCCATAATTAATATAAATAAACAGAACAAAATCTGGTTTCTAGTTTAATAGTGCCTTGCAATATGACTAACTTTGTTACATTACACCTTTCTTTTGAAAAGCTATTTCTTTGGAAAAGCTATTATTTGTAACAGTTGTTAATCCAAATAAATAAATAGAATGCTTGGAAAATTATTACTCAACACATAAGGGAACTAACAGCTATAAAAATTATTGAAGACTAGAAAGACTTTACATTCATACATGTCAAACAAAATCTAAGATTACTCCAAGCCGCATAGATCTTAAGTGTCAGAACCCGGAGTATCATTATACTGTCAGATGAAGTAAGAGACTCAGTTTCCTCAGACAGTAATAGCTGGCTTGTTAAACATTATTTTTTCCTTAGCAGTTGTCTAAGGAACGTCTGTGTAGCACTCCTAACTGTGGTCATCCATTCAGCAAAGATTTATTGGACACTTATTATATACCAGCAGTATATCAACAGCTCACAATGTGGCAGTGTGGCTCCTGTCCTCACAGGGAGATATAGATAGTAAATGTAAGAGGGCAACAAAAATTTACCCTACTAACACTCCTATGAACAGGAAAAAATATAGCTCTTTTATACTGTCTGCTACTAATTAGGTCTTTCTTAGAGCCCCCCACCCAAAAGAAAAACAATTAATTCATTAAGTACAATAGAGCTTAAAACCTGGTATAATTCATATTTTAAATAATCTTTTTAAGTAATGCTCAGTCTTTTCTGCTTAATAACTCAATCTCTGTTTGTAGGCTATTCCTACTCTCTCTGTTCTCTTCTACAAGATGGTGGCAGCATATCTTTTGGGTGAAAGTCTTATGTGACTTATAATGGCACAGCAAAGAACACTTTGGACCCCACTGTGCCCTCCAGATCTTTGCTTGTATCAGAGTAGGATGATGAGGAACTCGGTGAGGAGTGACTAGTGTGGTCCGTTCCGCCACCAAGCAGCCCATGGTTTCTTTACCTTTCCTCTGCCCCCAGCTCCCACTGAAGTGCTCCTCCCTTTCCTTTCTCTAGCCATAACCTTCTCTGAGGCTGCCTCACATCCTGTATATGCTCACAAGGCCCAGGGGGATCCCTTCCTGTTTCTGTTGTGTGGCTACAGGATGTTCCTTGGTCAAATATCTAGCTTTCAGCAAAATGTTCACACTGCGTGGAAAGCAAAGTAAGCTTGTGAGTACAAGCTTGACATTCTCTGTCTGCACATGCCCTTCTACCTTATTCCTGATGCTGAGTCTCCATGTCAATATGGGAGAGAGGTCCCCTGCTCAAGGATCAACTTGCCATCCTCCCAAATTGGGAGAGATGGGCAGTTGCCCACACTTGGCATAACTGAAGCCTACAGGAGGTTTTTCAGAACCCAGATATGCAACATTATCACCCTCCTACCTCTATCTGTCAAGGTCTCTTCTTCCTACACTTCCCCAGGGCTTAGAAGGAATGGGGTTTCTACTGCTCCCTCTTTTTAATTAGATTATCCTTACACAGAATTATAGGTTTTAGTTACTCAAACCTGGCACTTAACATACTAACAAGGAGCTAAAGGATTCTAGATAACCTCTCCCTCCTCCAAACCTGGCTTTTGAGTCTACTGATTTACTAAAAAGGTCAAAGTATCTGTTTGGTTGTTTGTTTTTTGGGGGTTTTTTATTTTATTTTGTTTGTTTTTTTTTTACTTCCTGGACCTAGAGGGCAGACTGGGGACAGGGAGAGAAAAACTGATGAAGAAGCATAAGCTGGGAAGTATTTAAAAATATTGGTACTACGGGTGGCGCCTTCTGTTAAGCATCCGCTTCTTGGTTTTGGCTTAGGTGGTGATCTCAGGGTCATGGGATGGAGTTCCATTTGGGCTTTGTGCTCCCTGTGGAGTCTGCAGGAGACTCTCTTTCCCTTTGCTTTGCCCCTTCTCCTTCCCCATCCCTGGCTCACTGATCCTCACTCTTTCTAAAAATAAATAAGTCAATCTTTAAAAATATTAGCATTGGGGCACCTGGGTGGCTCAGTGGGTTGAGCCTCTGCCTTCAGCTCAGGTCATGGTCTCAGGGTCCTGGAATCGAGCCCCACATCAGGCTCTCTGCTCAGCGGGGAGCCTACTTCCCCCTCTCTTTCTGCCTGCCTCTCTGACTGCTTGTGATCTCTCTCTCTGTCAAATAAATAAATAAAATCTTTTAAAAAAATTAAAAAAATAAAAATATTAGCATTACCATATCAAGAGATTAATATGCAGTTACAAATTACAAGTTCTTTAAAAAAAAAGTACTAAAGAAAACCAATGTGAGCTCTAATAGAGGTGGAACATTCTCAGTATGTTGCTTTCAGAAGTGTACTCTGAAGAAGTGATATTTAAGCCAAGGAACTTTGTAGGAAAATAAGATGTTATTCATGGGAACCAGGTGGGGATAGGATGCAGGGAACACACTAGAAGAGGGGAAAGCACAGATAAATTCCTAAATTTGGAAAGAGCTATCTCATTTTAGAAACTGAAAAAAAGCCAGTGTGGTCAAAGAGCTGTCCTTGAGGGGGAGAATGTAAGAGAGGAGATCAGAAGAGGACGGTGAGATCACGCAGGTCTCATTGGCCAGGCTAGGAGTTGGATTTTATGGCACTATGATTCAAAGCTGTTGAATGTTTTTAAGAAGGCATGATCTTCACATTTTTAGAGAATTGTTCCAGCTGATATATGTGGAGAATGAATGGACCATAGAAGGATAAGTTAGAAGCAAAGAAGTTATTAAAGAAGACAAGGTGAGACAACTAAGGTAATGGCAGCAGTGGTAGGGTAAGTATATATTCAATCCCTGGGTGACAATGACCAAGAAATCATTATAAGTATTGTATTTGGAATAGCTAGTATCTATGTTAGAAATTATAACAGAAAACCTCCATTCCATTAGAGTATGGAATGGAAAGGCCATTTCCATCTGTTTCGTTTCTTGGCAAGCACTTCAGGTCAGAGTTGGTACTCAGTATCGGAGTATTATGGGGAAACCTAATATTGGTCTAGTTTCCAGTATTCATCTGACCTCACATACATTACAAGGAATTTACATTCTTTTTTTTTTAATTTTTAAAAAAGATTTTATTTATTTATTTGACAGGCAAAAATCACAAATAGGCAGAGAGACAGGCAGAGAGAGAGAGGTGGAAGTAGGCTCCGGGTTGAGCAGAGAGCCCGATGCAGGGCTCGATCTCAGGACCCTGAGATCATGACCTGAGCCGAAGGCAGAGGCTTTAACCCACTGGGCCACCCAGGCATCCCAGGAATTTACATTCTTGATATAGAGTGCCCAACTTGGCTCTATTTCTTAAAAATGAGACTCAAGGCTGTGAACCTATCTTTTACATGTTTCTTTGTACCTCTCATTTAAAAACAGGGATGACACAAAGAATTGGACGAAAGATGATTAGACTCTGAAATAAAATATCATAATTTATATTTGATCATGCAATTTAAACCAATAGTTAAAGCAGAATCTTGGTGATTCACCTAAGGATTGTCCTAAGAGATGCGAGGAGAAAGTATACTTCACCACAGAAATCATATCCCTTCTGAAAATACAGTTGCAATTCAAAGATATTGCCAAAAAGTAAATAGAATCTCTCAAGACTGCTGTATGTTAATTATGAAGGTTTTTTAAATTTGTTTACAACCTACTTCATTACTTTTTAAAAGATTTTATTTATTATTTATTTATTTATTTATTTGAGAATGAGAGAGAGAGAGTACACCCAGGGGGAACAGCAGGCAGAGGGAGAGGAAGTGGGAGAAACAGGTTCCCTGCTGAGCAAGGAGCCCAAGGCAGGGCTGGATCTCAGGACCCGGGAACTATGATCTGAGCTGAAGGCAGCCACTTAATGGACTGAGCCACCCAGGCACCCCTAACCTGTTTCATTTCTACAAACCTCTCAAGATACTTAATGGAGATGATTCAGAAGGAGAGAAAAGAAAAAGAGCGAGAAGGAAGAAGGGGAAAAGGAAGGAGGGTGGAAGGAGGAAGAAGCCATTCTTATAGTAGCCACTTAGTCTGTTTCTCACCCACTCACATGACCCTCCAAAATTCCAGCCTCTTGTTTCATCCATGTAACTTATTTCAACAGACATTCCTATTGTCTTTTGTCTAAGGGGCTTTCAGTTACATTGAGTTCAATCATTATTCTTAATTTCAGATGGCAAAAATATATGACCTGATAGTAAATCAAATTTTTCTCTCCTACCATCTAGGAGCAAATGAGCAGGGAATTGCCCTACATTAAGAAAAAGGAGCTCTAGAAAGCAACAGTCATTTAAAAATGGGGAGTGCAACTTTCACTCTTAAACAGCATTGAGGTGGCAATGGAATGAAAAGGCATTTATTAGTTTAACAATTCCTGAAACATGCATTTCTCATAGCTTTCAGATAAATTAATAACAACAACTATATCTTTGGCATCGGGTCTTCCCTTACAATACTGCACTTGTCACAATTCAATATCGTGCTTTTACTATATTAGAGTTACAAGTATTTGAACATAGTACTCTAAATAAACTTACAGGTCATTCGCTTTCTTAAAATTTCCCTAGGCTGGTTTTTCTAGCTCTACAAAATACTCACTCATACTTGAAATATTTCACTTGGCTAAGTGTTCAGGTTCAAATTTCTCCATTCACCATGCCAACCCTTTACTATTCTTTGCCTCAGTGTTTTTTTAAGATAGCATGAGACTCATTAGCCATGTTCATTATTGGTCTCTGTGAGTATTACAGCCCTTGAACTCATTAAGCAATTGAAATTTAACAGATGAAAATTTCACATCATCATTCAGTATGAAGGGGATGAGTTTCTATAGGTATTAAAATAAAGCACATAAAATACAGATTTTCCAGAACTCCCTTACTTGTTACAACCAATCCCAAAGAGACAATTAGCATCTAGGTGTACATATTTTTAAAGAGGTGAAGAAAAGATGGTGAACCTTCATACCCTCCCATTGTCACCTCCTACATTCGAGATTCTCTCCAGTAGTTTCGTTACCACTGTGATACCTCTGTCAGAGAACCCCAAAGAGCTCTCACTTGAAGTAGATTGCCCTTTGATCTGTTTCTTCTCAAGAGTGGCATGGATGTTGTGCAAACTGAGAGTTGAAGAGAATACTGAGGACCAGGCTTTCCAGCATACATCCCAGGCTATGGAAAGAAGGGCAGGAATGCTCTGAACTCCTGCATTCCATTAATAGTTGAGCACAGCGTAGCCGTCCATGTGCTCACCTGACCCAGAGTGCACCCAGGTGCTGAGCATTTAGACAGTGAATAGAAGGTGCTATGGGGCTCAGTGCAGACTTTCAACACTCTAAGCTGGGCCTGTGATCTCCGAGAACTGCTTCAAATAAAAATCAGTTCCCTCTGTACTCTAAGGAGAGTAGTTAATCTTTATCATGACAACTTAAGGCCGTGGCCAGATTGAATGGCATGGCTGAGAGCTCCATTTCCTAGCACACATGTTTTCCTGGATGGCAATGGATCCTTAACCTTTCCGGGGGCTCTGACAGGTTGCAACGCTCAGGGGGATGGAACACGGCTTACTTTTTAATGACATGTTCACATCAACTTCAAAGCCACCAGTGGAAAATTTGGGCTTTAAGTGAACTATAATTTTATAAAATTAGGGCAATAATGTATCCAACCTATGAATTATTCAACATAAAGTTATATAGAATATGAAGTTATATAGTTATAGAAGTTATAGAAATTCATGTTATATAAATATAGAATACAAATGTTACATAGAGCATCTCTTTCTGCCTATAAACAGAAATGTTTTTCTAGTACTTTTCTAGCAATGCTTGTTCCTCCTCCTTCCAGTTGCATATTTGGCTACACCTTGGTAGAGCAAAGTTCAACATACCTATATTTTTCTGCTCCACAACCTCCCAGTAATCCTCTCCAAAATAGATGAACACATCCATCAAAATGTCTACTTCAGTGATTGATTCCTAAAGTGGCTATCCAAAAAAACCAAAAAACTGTGTACTTGCCATGAGGCATATGGTACCCCCTGAGGCAGGGGGGAAGAGGCCAGATAAAATGCTAACAGGATAACAAAAATTCGGTACAATTGAAATTCGGAGGAAAATTTCTTCTGAGCATTTGATAGATACATAAGAGATACAAAGAAGTGATTAGTTTGATAGCCAATAAAAAAACATTTCATGCTTAGGTATGCTGGGGTTTTTCCTCAAACCCTAGACCAAAGGTTTTCAAATTCTGTATAATTTCTGACTTCCCATTTCCAGAATTTTTCCATCTCTCCCAAAAGGACTATGAATCCTTTTTAAGCATGGTCACCAAACATGATTGGGTATGTGAACATCTGAGCTCCCTATAAATGTCCCAGAGTCTGTAAAAACTCAATCAGAAACAAGCAGTGATTCAAATATTTTTTTTCTTCTTCATCTTCTAGTTGCAAGATTTAAATAATACAGAAATGTTCACCGGTAGAACATCCAACCAAGGTGCCCAGTTCTTAATCATCCTTTGGCTCCGGGCAGAATAATCCTCTAAAATAACACAGCATGGTCAAGGCAGTACAACCTCGTGCGTATCCGCATACTGCTAATTCCTTTTGCACTTGTCTGTACCACACAGTTTAGCACTTTATTACATGTGGGCTTGTTATCCAACTGTTCCGGGTGCATTTCTTTTCTTTCAAAACACATTCTGAGATGCTGAAGAGCTGGGCTTCTGGGTTGAACACCCATGTTTTCCATACACTATATGGCTTGGTATTGTGCACATAACAGAAGCCTCTATACTTGTTCAGTATTTGTTCCTTTTGAAACTTTTTGGGTCAAACATCCCTTAGGAAAACTTTCAAGACTTGTTGTATCTGCTGAAGTTTTTCACAAGAAGGTAGATTTTACTCAGCAAAATAACTGGGCGTATTTTTCTTTACAGTTAGATCAAAATCACTTACTCTTTTGAGAACCATGAATTTATTAGACTTCAATAGTCACCAGGTTTGGTTTAATAGAGTCACTAATTCTTAGTCACTTTGTGTTAAGTTCATAAATAGATCGCAACCCATGTAATTTTTAATAGTACTATGTCCCAGTATCAGCTGCATCAACAGAGGCCATCCAACATTTAAACAATATATTCCTATTTAATAGAATCTCCTAATATGCAAATCAAGATATTAGCCAAATTAGATCTTCCAAAATAAGATGAATATGTGTGTATTTCTTCATCAGAATTCATCTATCAAGGGGCGCCTGGGTGGCTCAGTGGGTTAAAGCCTCTGCTTTCGGCTCAGGTCATGATCTCAGGGTCCTGGGATCGAGCCCCGCATCGGGCTCTCTGCTCAGCAGGGAGCCTGCTTCCTCCTCTCTGTCTGCCTGCCTCTCTGCCTGCTTGTGAACTCTCTCTGTAAAATAAATAAATAAATAAATCTTTAAAAAAAAAAAAAAAAAGAATTCATCTATCAAGAGTATAAATATATTCTATTCTTCTAAATTTTGTTTCTGAAGTGAACTATCATGCATATATAAAAGACACCATTGTGTATTTAGTAAATTAAATGTCACCATCAACTTACATTTTACGTAGACAACACAAATATATAAATTCAAGTTTTTGTTTTAAAACACCATGTCAGTGAGGCATAAGACTGCATTGGCAAATGTTTTGGGCTTTTAGGTGCTTATATTAGCATTATTAACTTACAAATCATCAGGACAATTTCTCGGTGGCTCCAGTCTCCCTCCTGTTTGCACATAGTTTAAAACATCAAGGTTGGAATGCGTTGGATAAGGCTGATGACCAAGAGTTAAAATCTCCCAAATCAGAATTCCAAAAGACCTAAGGATGTTAAAGAGTTTACTTTAATTATACTTATTACAAACATCATGTTTAGAGTAGTTTGTCCAATGTAATTATTCCTGGGGCTATTGGGGTCTGCTTTGCGATTGGCATTATTGGCCCCATAAAAGGCAAATGGGAGACTTAAAAGTAAGTTGACCTCAAGAAAAAGTAGAAAAAGCAACTGCCTACTAGCAACACTTCAAAGGTGATAGGAAGTTTTAGGGGATACACACACACACACACACACACACATACACACAAACACACACTTTGTTCCTCCTCCCCAGCTGAAACTGTGCTGCAAACCTCCATTACTTGAGGCTTTCATAGTTATCGATGTGCAGACTAATGCAGGGGTAAGCAAGAAAGCATTTCAACTTTTCCCCCATGAGTTTGAACGCTAGTAAACATGGAGAGGAAAGGCATGAATGTGAACTGGCAACACTGAGGTCCAATTTTCTCTCATCACCAATTTTGACTGGGGCCAGTCCAGCTTAAAAGTTACTGAGTAGATCTAATCAAAATTTGGGATTCACGAGCCAACATGAGTGCCAATTCTAGTAATAAAGAGATGCCCAAACCTCCCCAATGCCATACTGTTTTTGAGATCCATGATTTAAACTCTTACCTATAAATTAATGACCCCCACATCCCAGAAGAGTAGGCATTTGGACACATACTTGGACACTGGTCATATTTATGAATTCCTATTAGTCACAGCCACTGTGCTTTTGGACAGAGATAGAATCCTTGAAGTAAATGTATCTATTTCACATTTATGATTAAGATAATGGATCAAAACTGATAAGGGTGAGGGAGGAAAATACTGAGACCCGGGACTAGTCCCACAAGTTTAGATGACCTTTCATTTCTGTTCTGGCTCTGACATTGGCTGGGTCTGCCTGAATTCCTCTGTGTACTGTTAAACTCACCATACGTCAGACTGAGTAGTGAAGATTCCATCCATCAAACTTTCTGGAGCCATCCACCGAACTGGGAGTAGGCCTTCCCCTGTCTTTCTATAGTAATCATTTTTATAGATGTCCCTCGCGAGCCCAAAGTCCCCAATCTTCACTACCCGTGATGGACTGGTGTAGTCTTTCACAGACACGAGGCAATTCCGAGCTGCCAGATCCCTATGGCAAAAGCTTTATTTAATAATACTAATAACAAAGTTTCAGAGCTCAGACAAGGAACCCTAGCAGGTCTTTAGAGAAGAGACACTTTTTACAAAAATTTTTGCTATTTTGAAGTCACGAAACATTTAATTATCTTGTATGTTCTACCCAAACCACAGGTGATTATTGTTTCAACGTCCGTTAAGAACCTTGTATCTAGAATATCACCATACCTGTGAATGAAATGCATCTGCTCCAAGTAGACACAACCTTTTGAAATATCTACACACAGATCTACAAGGTCAACCAAGGTGAGTAAAGGACCATGAAACTGTAAGAAATGAAAGAAAAGTTACAAGTACTTTTCCAGTTTGTATAAAACATACATGTGATGTTTTAAAGGTATTTTTAGTTTGGGTTACAAGAATTCAAACAAGGAAGGAAAGAGCTAGATTTACTACTTTCTACTGAAATATACATAAGTAAGATTTTTTTAGTAGTCAGAGGCAATATAGGATTATTGGAAAGATCTCAGGGTGTCAGTTCAGACAGACCAAGATTTGAAGCCTAGTTCTGCTACGTATGAGTTGTGTGAACTTGCTCATGTTGCTTAATTCACTAAACAACTTTCTCATACATGAAATGGGAATAATAAGACTGGTCATATAGGATCTGAGATAAGATTATATACATATAACAGGCCCATAATAAATAGTAGCTCCATCAGAAGATGTAAGAATGATAATTTAATCAGTACTAGCTAGGTTAATTATTGGCCCAGTGTCACACTGTAATGTCAGGCCATGGCCTTGTGCCTCAGATGAGCTCCCACATAAATGGTTAGCAGCACTCTATTTCAAGGTCACAGATGACTCCTCTCCTCCAGAGAGCCAGCATGCCTATATGGTTGAACCTATGCCAGCTGCACTGATTTCTACATTAAAAAGCCAGTGGAAGTTTTTATTGGTACCATCTGGAAAAAAAGTTTAAAGTTCCTTCCCCAAGGTTACATTAATATCTTGTCTTTCCCTTGCCATTTCCCTGCAAATACCCTGCTCAGGCCATTATCTTCCCTATCTGACACATTCCAAACTTAATCTTGATTTCCATCCACATCCTTCACTGAGCAACTCAAATGATTCCCAACCTTGAAATCCCTCAATTTCTCATAGATGAGTGCTCTTAAGTGCTGCTCCCTCTGTCTCCCCCAACAAGCTCATGTTTTGTCCCCAAACTAGGAAGACCTTCCCTGTTCTCAGACTCAACATCACCATGGTCCCACTCGACCACACCTCAGTCTGATAGTGAGGTTTGATCTTACTCCCAGGAATCAATCCCCCTGCAACACGGTTCAGATCCAGCAGACACCAGACACGGGCCTCTTGGCTAGGTCTGAGCTCCTGCTAGGTATCCCGACTGGTTCCTCGGTTCCTCTGTGAGTGGAATCCTGTTCTGCTTTTGGCAAAGCCCACTCTACTGAAGATGCTCCTTGCTTAGAATCTAATCTTTCTTCTGAACTTCAGGCTGATGGCTAGCATCACGTCCCTGTGCACAGATTTTAATGCTGCCTGCTTGCCTAGGTGTCTAACTATCCCTTGCTCCTGACAGCCCCTGTGACAACCTTTTAGGATACTTCATCACCCCATGTTGTGGCTCCTGGACTCCAGATGCTCCTGCCCTGGGCTGTCACCTATCATCTCTTGCCAAGCCCCCAGACATACGGAGCCTCCACCTGGGTCTGTTCCTGGTCATGGATTTTCATGATTCATGTGGGAAGATGTTGTTTCAGAGACTATTCTCTCCCCTACTTTCGTTGTGTCTCAAATGGAAGACCTCTTCCATGAAGCCTTCCCAGTTCTCCTGAGTTGGAAATCATCTCTCTCCTCTTGGCTTCCACAATATAGTCTCTACTGCACTCCAATAAGCCCTCCTGCTTTCTATCTTAGATAGGTTATTTATACGTGACTTACCTCTCTACCATGTGGCAAAGTCCTTGAAAGCAAGAGCCATATCCTTCACTATTGTATAATAAACATGCAGCAAAAAAAACTTATGAATTGACTGTATCTAGCTATTTATACTATTTTGATAGGTTGGTTTTGGTTTTGTTTTTTACTTTCTTCTGTCTTAATAGAATCTTAGGCTATCAGAGTTTAAAAAGAAAGAAGAGCCTGAGAACATTTTCAATTCAAGATCCCATTTTATAGATGCAGAAACTGAGGTCCTGAGAATGAAAGGCTGGACCAAGGTGTATGGGGCTAGATGCAGTCAATCCTGGTGTATTTGACCCAGCACCGCCATCTTGGACCCGGGATAGGGAAAGCACGCGTGTGGCTGTTCTGGAATGTTGCCTCTGAGCATTCTCTGTGGAGGAAAGGCTGGCTCCAAATGAACTTAGTATAATGGGGACTTAGAACCTGTGGTGTTCTGGCACTCAGCACCTACCAGCATTCTACCCACTGGTGGGAGTAAGGGCAGTGAGGCACAGAAGCTATCCTGCCCAGGAAAGGCCGTGGAAGAACCCTTGAGAACCAATCAGTAGAGCCATCAGGATCCTGACTAAGTAGGAATAATTTGGAAAGAGCTGGCCCATGTTTTCCATTTCACCCCCTCTTCTTGACCCCAAACAAACAAAGCACAATCTACAGATAAATGGTCTTGTTAAAGATGGGGACTAAGTGTGTGCATTTTTAGTCCCACTCTCTCCCCAAACCTTACTAAGATGACAGTAGAAGGAAAACGGTTATAATCTTACAAGTACAAATACATCAGGAAAATAAGTTTAGTGCATGAAACATTTGGGGGAAGCAAAGCGGATGCAGGGGTGGTCCTTCAGTAGAGCTGAGAGACAGCTGGGCTGCCTGTAGGGGGAGAGGCAAGAATTAGGCTGTGTTTCACTAGAAAACTCTCTACAGGCTCTGCAGTTGGAGGTAGCAGACATCTCTGAATGCAGGGGTGCGGGGCAAGCCTGGAAGCAAGAGGAATGTTTGGAAGTTTATTTTAGGAGCTAACTAGATCCCAGGTCCTCCCACCACAGCAGGAGGCTTTCCACTGTAGAAAACACATACATACACACACACACGTGTGTGCGCACACACACGGAATTAGAACAACTCCAAGTTCAAAGATATCAGTCACACTCAGACACCGTGCTGAAAATGGAGGGGAAAATTAAATGGGAGCCCCTATACTCAGCCCTTGGACCTTCACCCTCTCCCCTCTCACCTCCCTGAACTGAGGCTTAGGCCCTGATAGCCCAGGCAGGACACCAGCAGATTCCTCCCTGGGGAAAGTGGAGTGTGCCAGGGAAGACACCCAGATACTGTCCTTAGGGGATCTGGGAACCCCCAGTGAAAAAGCAGGGTCCCACATGACAACCAAAAGGAAGCTACCACAGACACACAGGTTCCAGTCAGCCTCTTAGAACTCACTGTTAAATAAGAAGACCAGCCAGAAATCACCACACTGCTTGAAAAACATCTCACATTACAAACAGATCTCAGAACAAAGAGGATAAAGGAAATCAGGACAATGCAGGAAGCAAATTAATACTTTAAAAAACTATAGTTAGTGTCCTAGGAAAGATTAGAGAAGATTTTGCCCATATGAAAAAAAAAACCACAATATTATTTTAAGAAGCAATCAAAACATAAGAATGATTCCATGGAAAATTAAAATCTTAAATTCTATTTTAAAAATTACAGAAAGCTCCCACAGTTGAGAGCACAAATACAGAGTTGGAAAATAGATGAAAACTGCTAACAGAACAAAAGGATAAAACAAAGCGGTCCATTATCCAGCTAATAGAGTTTCGAGAACAAGGAAATAGAGGGAACAAAGAATTTTATTTATTATCAAAAAATAATATAGAAAAATACCCAGAACTAAAAGGGGTGATTTTCCAGACTGAGTGTCCAGATTGGTAAAAAGTACCACAGATAAGAAGTTCCTAAAATTTTCCGGAGAGGAGGGGCAGAAAGCAGGTCACTGATCGCAAGTCCAAGAGTCAGAATGGCATAAGACTTCCTAAAGGCAACTGTACAAGCTAGAAAACAAAAGCGAAGGGGTTTTCAGCCTAGAATCCACCCAACTTATTCATCAAGTGTGAGGGAAGAAAAAGGACATTTTTTTCAAAAAGAGGGGTAAAAATGAGACTTTTGCCTCACATGCATGCTTTCTTGTGATTTCTCTCATCCACAACCGAACAAAAAAGTCATGGAATAGAGGAAACTAAGGTCCAGCAAAGAAATCAGCAGGGTAAATCTGAAAGGAACCCCAAGGATAACAGACATGCAGGGAGCCCAGAGGACAAGTGCCTGTATTGGCTCCAGGAGGAGATTGTCCAAGAAAAAAACCTGTCAGGTGCTGGATCAGCTGATCTATTTAACCCCAGTGACAGAAGTGCTACAATTCTGTCAGAGGGGAGGTATATAAAAAATGAAGCAACTGGGGAAAACAAAAGAGGCGTTTATTATTCTCGCCCAACAGGGGGAAGAAAACACAATCACAGCTTTTGAGTAACTCAGCTGTAAGTAATAGTCATAGTAATGTAAGTCTGCACTATTGATTAATCTGAAAATTTTGATAGTGGTCGGAGGATGGGGAAACACACTTGCCAATGTATAGGGCTGGTGGGGTGTCGTCTGGTCCTGAGTCAGTCCAAGACAGTTAAATTCTCACCTCTCATAGGAGGGAGTCAGGAGATTTCCTCCAAGACTGAAAAAATCCATGCGCAGCACTATACATGGAGTGTGCAGGAGCATAGAGGTAAATACCGGAAGAAACGTATAGATGCCTGCCATGTGGGAATGAGGCAGTCTTTCACTATAAACCGTGTTTTCTATTTAAGTGTTTTAGTCACAGAACATGTACTTCAATAGAAATAAAAACCGATTTTTTTAATCTACAGATTTAAATACTAGTGTCTTGTTTCCTCTCATGTCTTTCTCATCTGAGATAGAAGGTAAGTTTTCACAGGTGTTGTCACAGCTGGCCCTGATTCCACAGTCTTTGCAGGTGGGTGCTGAGGAGAGAAGACCAGGGAAGACCAACACAGACTTGTGGCCAACACAAGTTTGAAATGCCTATGAAAATCCAAACAGATAAGCCAACTGGGTAGGGACAGAGAGTAGTCAGTAAAGATATGAGGGCTTGCAAGTATCAATTTGGGACAGACAGGCACATAGATTAAGTATAGAGAAAGATGTGCCTTTCCAACGCCACACAATCTCTGTCCTCCAGGAAACATGATTTTGGGAGTGAGGTACCTATTTTCCCACTAAATATTAAAAACAGCCTCAAATAACCAGAAAATGCCAGAAGTTAGCCCAGGATTCTAACTGTCCTAATCCAACAGAAGGAAATACAAGAATTCTTTCCACAGAAATCTTCAGAGTTTCGACCAACAAAATTTAAAGAAACTTAGTGAGAAATTATAGGGCCTTTGCATTACAAAACCAATACGGGGACCGCATTTCCTACCTTTGTCATCCGGGCTTTACGCAAATAGGTAAGAAGGTCTCCTCCTTCCATCAGTTCCAGGATAATGTATTGGGGTTCGTTCAGCAGACAAACTCCAAGCTGCTTCAGGATGTTGGGATGGTTAAATTTGCTACAAGGTGGAAAGACACAGGCAGGATGACATGACAGCAACAGGCACCCTGGCCCAGGACCTTCGGGAAATAGAGCAATTCTTTATCTCCATTTTCCTTCAAAACTCCTGTTTGGGTCCGGGACAGGGGTTGTTTGGTTTTTCCCTAATAAATGAAAGTCTCTTTTTCCAAGAACTGGTCCATGTGCTTGCCTTAGAGAGATGATACGGCAACCCCTAGTGGCCAGCTCCTACGGCTGGAATAGGTGATCTTTAGAAGAAACGTTTATAGGAAGTATTTTATGTTTTGGTAAAGAAAGTAATCTTAACTACTATCCTTCAGAAGATACTTGAAAGAATTACATTTTCAGTCATCCCAAGTATGTAATATAATTCTCTTCCTTTTGGAGAAACAATTCAGTCACGCAGGTTTGGCTTCCACCATTTTCTCAAGACATCAAACCAAGGAAGCCCTGATCTAATGATTAGAACCCACAGCTGAGACCCCCAGGGGCTTCTGCCTCAGGCCTTCCCTTTAAGACGCCTCGGAACACTTTTCATGACAGCAACTGACTCTAACCTTGAAGACAAGTTTACTAAGACTGAGGGTATTTTTACTGACATCCCTGTACTTGGACTTCGCTCCCTTACTCTGGATATTCGAGCCACTACCACACGTTTAGAAGAACATAAACACGTTCAAAGCCGAGCATCTTCAGACATCACACTGCTTGTTGAAGGTCAAAGAAAGGAAGAACTTTTGCCCGAGGACTGCCTGTTGGAAGTTTGGTTTCTACAGAGCCCTTGTCACCACAAACATATCTATGTTTAAACTTAAGCCATGTTAATTTGAGGCATGATCTGTGATGTCGGGTCATTCTGAATGTTAAAAATTCACCAATCAAATATAAAAGCTTTCTACCCTTCTTAAGGGAAAATGAAGCCAGTACTACCCCAATACCTCATCAGATGTGCCTCTTTTAGGAATTCAATCTTCTCTTGGTCTGTGGAGCCCTTCTTCAAAGTCTACATAATATAAAAATAAGCCAGGAATCAGTATAGCAGACATTTCTATGAGTTCAGTGGGTTAATGGAGACCATCTTTGTTTTGTTTTGTAATATTCACCCTCAAAGCTGGAAATAGATCATGGCTAATATATGCGCATGTGTTCTGTAAACTCATTCAAAACTTAGCCGGTGTTAGAACTAGTGTTCAAGTGGGAAAGCCTGAAAGACAAAAGATCAAGTAACATCTACTATTCCCTCCCTCCAAAATTCCCTCCAAAAATGTAGAAATTTTTAAAAGTGTAGTTGTGTAGGCCAGTTTCTTAATTTTCAAAGTTTTCTACTCAATATCTATTTCTCCCTGCTTCCTTGTTAATGACACTATATTTGTCTCTTAAAGGCAAGATGCCCAGTTCCAGACAGTTTGGTCGAAATGAATCAGGAAACTTGTGTTTTATAATTCTCCAGCCTTGAAAATAGGGGTGACCATCTGAGTCAGTTCTGGTCAGTGAGGTGTAAGGGGGAAACTGCTGAAGGGGAGAGAAGCTTGTGGAAAACTTCCACTTTTTGGAACATATACGTCTAAAATCATTCTTCCCCCTTACCCTGACCTGACTGAAGAACCAATGCCTGATCTTTGGCAACCATCTTGGGATCATGAGGTTAACACACGTGTACAAAGTCAAGAGAGTTTCAGATATCCTGGCTCTGACCTAACGCAGTACTAACACCAAAACCCAGCAGTCCTCTAGTTATGTGGGGAGAAATAAACACTTGTGTACACCAGGTAAGGCTAAAGTATTTAAAGCACTTTTAGATTGCATCATTTGGCAGTGGAGAGGATTCTGCCAATATTTCTGGTTGTATAGCCCTCTCTCAAAGCAACAAATTCCTAACAAGCAGTGGTCAGGATGTTGCCCAATTACATAAAAGATTCATCCTCCCTCAATGAAAAGGTTTTAGACAACTATGAGAGTCTACCCAGCACTTCCTTAAAACTACATTCAACATATACCATGGGAATAACTGTGTCGCACAGGGGTCAGCAAACTATTGCCTGGAGACCAATGCCAGCCTGTAACTTTGTTTGTACAGCTTGAGCTCTGAAAATAGTTGCTCAGTTTTAATTTTATATTTTTCCAACTTTACTGAGGTATAAGTGACACGTTACATTTTCAAATGGTTGGAAAAAGTTGAAAAGAGGATATTTCTTAACACGTGAATATGTTAGGAAATTCACATTTCAATCCTCATAAACAGTTTTACAAGAACATCACCACCCTCTTGAGTTCACATATGGTCTAGGGCCACTTCACTCCGTGAGGGCAGAGCTGTGTAGTTGCAACTGATGCCAAATGGCCAGGAAGCTCTCTACTCTCTGCCCTCGTACCGGAGACATGGAGAACGTGCTTTACACCCCTGGTCCTCTTATAGTATATTCAAAGGGAAAAACCACCTGCCAAGTCTTAGCTAATTAGTAACCTTAGAGGTAATGATGCATTAGAGAGCTTAGGGAAGAAATGGAAGAAACATTGTCATTTCTGTTGTTATGCATGGACTCCCAACTTCAGCTCTCTTTTCGCTCATATTTTATTATAGTTTTATCCACGTAAATTCATATAAATGTGAAGATCCAGCACGTCAAGGAATTAAAAGCTCCATGTTACCTTCACTGCTACTTTGGTTTCTCCACTTCCAGCTCCTAAGATGTCTACCGCCGTCCCTTCATACACTTCTCCAAAGGCCCCACTTCCCAACAGGAGGCGCAGAGTCAGTCTTTCCCGAGGGAAGGCAGGAAGACTTTCAATCTCCTCTTGGGTTGGAAGAGTACTGGAAAATAATATTTTTGGTGTTCCAAAATGCACTGGTTTACAAGTTGGTGTTGAGTGTTAGTGTTTGAGAAAGAGTATGAGAAAGAAAGAGATATCCCTTGATTTTGCAACACCGCTCTATGTAATATAATGTAATATAATGACATGGATTCCTATGTTTCTATTCCTTCCCTATTCCACCATAAGGAAGGAATATTCCTTCCTTATTCCAAAACACAGACAGAGCATATCACGTCAATTCTAGGTACCATAATCTTGATAGAAACATGCCTTTGTGTGCATAGCCTCAAGACTTTTTACTGTAGCTTGTTTTGTTGAAATTATGAGTTATTTGTTTCTTCAGGTAATCAACTTAAGTAAAAAGCTATTGCAAATTAGTAACAAATACATCTGGGTTTATGAGCCTAAAAATTTTCACTTCGGGGTGCCTGGGTGGCTCAGTTGGTTGGGCGACTGCCTTTGGCTCAGGTCATGATCCTGGAGTCCCGGGATCAGGTCCCACATCGGGCTCCCTGCTTGGCGGGGAGTCTGCTTCTCCTTCTGACCTCTTCCCTCTCATGCTCTTTCTCTCTCATTCTCTCTTTCTCAAATAAATAAATAAAATCTTAAAAAAAAAAAAACTTTCACTTTAACCATTTCACACACCTGATCTTTTGTGTACAACAAAATTTAGTATGACTACAGTAATCAACTCTTTCTCCATAACTTTTAGAAGCCAGCTCTCACTTGGAATATTATGAGAGGGAAAAAATTGTCTGCATTCAAAATGCTTTGAGTGCTTAAAAGAGAATCTTGAATATCAAATGTGCTGAATATTTCCTCAAGGAAAAGTCACCTCTGAATCACTAAATTAGATCACCCCAGTGTCTACTTCAAATCTTCCATTTGTGTATCTTCCATTTGTATAAACTTCAAGGCCTATGATTACATAATTCCTTGTAGCTGAGGCCGTAACATGGTGTCTTACATAAACCACAATACAGTGTCCTGCATAAAAAGATATTTAAATATTGTCTTTAATTATTTTGACTACATCAAAAACTAATGATGTACTATAAGTTGGCTAATTGAATTTAAAAAAAATTATGATGACAGCATAAGTTCAAAACTCAACTATCCTAAAGAGCTTTTGTAGGCAATCACCATACAACTTCTGAAAACAGACTCAGATGGACTTAACAGTGCAGGCATGGCACCCTTGGGATTCCTCTCTTCTGGATGCTTCCAGGTGAACCAATCGTGCTACCATGTTCTCTTCCATACAGTATTTATGTCCTTGTTTCATTTACTTTATAACTATGTGACAAAACACTGGAACATGGTAGAATTTTGCTTATTTTCTTTAGGATAGAATAACCACATAGATTGCCAACGATCTTAGGTCACATTTGAAAATGGAAAGGGATGTTATTAATAATCATGCCAGAATAATGAGCATAGACCAGGACAATCATGGGCAGCACGGGACCCATGGGCACTCTCTCTATAGCTGCCCACTCTTCATCTAGGTGCCCCGTAGTGATGGCCCAGGTTACATACTGTATGGCATAGCAGGCGTTAGCCAGCCCTACTCCAGCCGCCAGACCGCGAAGCTCAGCCAACTCTTTGTCTTCGTTTATGAGACCCGTCAGCCCTTCTCTGGGAGTTTTTTGACTTTTTAATTTTCTGTGCCACACTACAAAGAGAAGAGGACATAGTTTACAAAACAAAACATTGGTTTTTTTCTTCAGGAAATGTTAACACTTTAAGTGTTTACATATAAGAACACTATGGGTAGAATAACAGAATTTGTTTGAAAACTCTGTCCATAATAGAAAAACTAATTAAATCAGGTCCAAAGACTTATAAAAACTCATAACTTATACCACGTAACTTCTTATTTCACGTCTCAAACCAAAGCTTTATGCATCTTTTATTGCTGTTATAAATGAATTGAAGAATCTTAATATCAGAACTTATTTCTCGAAACCACCCTTACAGTCAACATAAACCAGAATAAATTTGCATTATAATTATTAAATAATTATTTGCATTATAATTAAATAACAAATTTATTTCTGAGTCCAGGTCTGTCCACAGTCTACTCCTATAGGCGATCTGAGGAATGCTTTCAATTATAATAGCATGCATTTTTTTTAAATGCAGAGTACAGGAATTTATGCCATTGTTGTTCATGCACACATATCCAAGCCTACAGAAAAACTATTAGAATGAAACCCACCAAATGTTAGTAGTGGTCCTCTCAGTTGTGAAATCATGGATGATTTATATTGTCTTCTTCATACAATGAGCAAATACTATTTTCATCATCATAAAAATAAGCAATTTTTGGAAGATTAAAATACAATTATGTCATAGGATCAACCATCTATACTAGAACATTGGTTGAGAAGTTGAAAACAGCAAGGATGTTTTTTAAGATGATCATTAAAATTTGAATTTTATCCCTTGGTAGCCTTTATATCCAACAGGTTAGCATTTAATTCAAGTGAAATTCCACCTGAGGGACCACGCAGGGAAAGATTTTAAATACATTTGCTAACGCAATTTTTCAAACCTGAAAAGCTGTCCCTAGTGCTTTTCATTTTTTTAAAGGCCCATTCTGGCCCCCATCCCCTGTGATCCCTTCTGAGACCCTGACAATCTGCTGATCTCTCAGTTCTCAATGTCTAAGACCAAGTGTAGCTCTCAGTCTGCATTTCTACCATAGTGCCCGGCACATGTCATGTCCTATATTGCCTTCTATATCCCACTATTTATTTTTTCACACAGGTACGTCTTACCTGCCTCATTAAATGGCAAGCTGCCAAGGTCAGCAACTGTATGTTACAGCTTCATATTTCCCTCTGCTCCCAGCAGGAGGCTAACACTGCCTGTTAGATGCGACCACTCACCAAAGCTAAGGCTGTCGATGTTTATTTTTAAATCATTGTTTCAATTTTATATTTATAAGTACCACTGCTGAGAGCCCCAGAGCAATACAAATATGTTTAAACAACTGTTTTTCCTTATTTTAATAAACTCAATCTTTTCTCATGCACTCACCCACTCCTACTAGTAAAACCACATGCACTGCTCCTAAAGGCAAAGAAGCAAATCAGCTTAGCTGTATTAAAAAAATTCGTTAAGTTCCAAATGGAATAAAGACCTTTAAATCCTGAGAAAGTCAGATATCCATAGGATGTCTTGAAAGCACAACAGGTTGTCTGAAATTATCTCATGCTCACCCACTAGAGTGACAGGTTTGAACAACGGTGATGTACACGTAGGCAAGCAAAGGTCAGATGAAAGACTCTTCATGTAATTCTCCTTCCCAGTAGGAAAGCAGACATGCAGTCAAGCCTATATGCCAACTGCCAAATATACTACAGTGATACGTGTCATTCTGGAGGGGCTGGCTTAGTGGCACAAGCATCAGCTGTGCAATACTTAGATTCCCTGGAACCACAGGTTAAGATCCTGGCAGGGTCAGCTGAAATTTTTAGCTTTCCAAGTTAACTGAAGGAGTTCCAGATATCATCTGGGTGGAATCCATGAAAAGAAATCTGAATTCAAGTTTCAGTGTGCTGTCTGATAGTTTACAACTCTGATCCGTTTGGGGAAAGAATAAAGATTTAGACTACTTAGTAAAATACTGGCTTTCTTTATCCTAAGAGAGTTTAGCTTTGTTTGTAACTTTTCCTTAAACTTTCCCTTCTAACTTTCCCTTCTATATGAAAAAAACAGACCACAATTTCCTAAATATGTACTTGAGCATTCTTTTCTGGTAAATATCACACCTTTCTTTCCTTTCTTTCTTTCTTTCTTTCTTTCTTTCTTTCTTTCTTTCTTTCTTTCAATATTTTATTTATTTATCTGAAAGAGAGAGAGAGATTGAGAGAGAGAAAGGCCAGAGGGAGAAGCAGACTCCCCCCTGAGGGGGGAACCCAATGTGGGGACTCAATCCTGAGACTCCAGGATCATGACCCAAGCCGAAGGCAAATGCTTAACTGACTGAGCCACCCAGGCACCCTATCATGTCTTTTTCATAATGCTTTTGTATGTCAGGGACTCATAATATCAGTAAGTGATAGGATGACCAAATACCTTATAATGCAAACCAGGACATTTGGGGCACTGAAAGTCCTACTAAGGTTTATACTGAAACAACAGGAATGAACCGGGATGTATGATCACCAAAATAACCCTATAGCCCAATATTTGGCCCCAATATTTCTGGGGTTGTCACTATATTTTCTCATTAAAATAAATCTTAAAAAAAAAAAAAAAAGACTTCTAGGACCTGTACATTAGCATAAAATGAAGATTGGGAAATAGCTACCTTTTTATCTACCTAACAAATACTTCTGCTTTCCTGGACATTATAAATGAGCAAGGATTTGAAATAAGCAAGTCAGATGTCTGAAAGCGAGAGGAGACCCTACAAGCCAGAGATGGGTCATCTGCAAGAGAGGAACCCTGCTCCTTCCTAACCAGTCTGTCTACCTGCCTGGAGACCCAAGCTATCCCAACCAAGGACTGTCACTGGTCTCCTATTAACACTACATTTTTTTTTAACATCTGGAGTTATTTTTCTTTTGTTTATTTTCAACTATAAGACAATCTGAAACAAATACAGCTTTTTTTTTATTTTATTTTTTATAAACATATAATATATTTTTATCCCCAGGGGTACAGGTCTGTGAATCGCCAGGTTTACACACTTCACAGCACTCACCATAGCACATACCCTCCCCAATGTCCATAATCCCACCCCACCCTCCCAACCCCCCTCCCCCCATCAACCCTCAGTTTGTTTTGTGAGATTAAGAGTCACTTATGGTTTATCTCCCTCCCAATTCCATCTTGTTTCATTTACTCTTCTCCTACCCCC